ACACCAAGGAAATCCGTCTCCAGGACCCATTACCATCCTTGTTCCCATTTGCTACAGTGCAGGACGAGACTGAAATGTCACTCAGTCGCTCTCTTAGAGAGTAAAATAGGGGCAACAAAAATACTGTATATTCTGTCAGTATTCTTTGTTTACAGGTTAATAATAATACATTAATTGTTGTTGTAAACAACCTAAATGTAATATGATAAGTTATTAGATCTTGCGTCTCTGTAGTGGCAAAGTTGGTAACAACATTAATTTTGGTTTGGGTATGTTAATGATAATTTGAGGAGATAGAGGGGGAACACGGGCTCATCATCAAACTACTCTTTAGTTTTCTTGTTTCTATCATTGTTTAACACGTTTATTTTTTTTCTTCCTTTTTACTACGACTGTCTTTGCATTCGCTGCAAACAATATGCTAACTATATGTTAGATGTTTGTGTTGGAGGTTATTTTATGATTACTGTACTAATAAGTCATTCTCTTAAATAAACAAGGGACACACACAGCACTCAAATTAACGATCTCATCCCCTTTTTTATGTTTGCAGTGCGTACAGTACCTCGTAATACTAGGAATTCAAACACTCTTCTTTTAAATCTTCCTTGTAAATGTTTTTTGTTGATAGAGTTTTTATGCAAATATAACAGCAGACACTGATCTTAGGTGTACATTGTTCCACATGGGACATATTGTAAAGAAAATCTATAAAATTAAAAAAAAGAAATACAGCTGTTATCTTGGTCCATACGTGGCATGCATATAGTACACACTACACTCCAAAACTTAAAGTAACAAACATTACTTAGGATATATAGACTAAAGACATTTTTTTTAAAAAAGTCATAACAGCAGTAAAATATGTTGCTCTGTTTTTATTTCTTCTGAGAATAATAACACATTCATTAGTGAGAAAGAGTAGTTATTGAAAATGTTAATGGCTCTTCCATACTCAAATTAAATAAATGAAAATATTTGGAGATTATAAGTACATTTCTTTGTAAATAACGTGACTATAGAGCTGTAGAGCTGGATTCATTGCACAACAGTAGGTGTGAATTCTGAACACTCTGTTTGACTCACAACAAGAAATAAAGGTACTTTCACTGCTGATATAATGTGGTGCCAAAGAGGTTTACATCTGACTGCTATTGTTTTAGTTTCGCTTGGACGAGAAGATTCTGTGAGCTGTTTCATGGAGACTGCCTGGAGGCAGGCACACAGGCTCAGCAGGAAGTAGGCAGGTCTGACAGTCATAGTGTGAGAGGAGATGGCGAGGGGGGTGTACACCAGCCACTGGTATGGGGACTGTGACACCGTGATGAAAGAGATGAGCTCATTGTCGGGGGTGTGATTTTTTTTTTTCCAGCAGCAGGCTACTGCGTTTTGTTTTGACAGTATCGAGCACAATGTTCTAGTTCGGCGTGATTAGAGCATGATTAATGCCATGTTGGGAGATTTGGTTTTCTGGAATTTTTGCTGCCTTAAACTGTGGAAAAGAAACGAGAAGGTAAGGAGGCTTTCCTGATGTTTTTAAATCCCGAAACGTGAGCAGTTCGGTCTAAGTAGACGGCCAGGCTGTTAATGGGAAATTAACTTGTCATGAGTTAAACAGTGACACTGTCACTTCAAATTCAGCCTTCCAGCCTCACTGATTTCTGAATCTGAAAGATTTATGCATCAATGAAAGGACTGGTTTGAGCTTGGGAGTGTTTCAAAATGTGGGTTCTACAAGATATTTAAAAGTATTCTTTTAAAATGAAGGATTAGAATTCTGAACAGTTTCTAATGACCCTGCTTAAGAGTTACGTCTAAAGCAATTAGGGTTTTATAAAAACAACTGCTTTTAAATAAGTTTTAATTGGCCTTATTATTGTGCGTACACATACATATTAAAAACTGTTTAGGTTCATGTTAAGCTATGAAATAAGATACATGTTTTAATGAAGTATAAAACTATAATGTTTAATAATGGCTATTAAAGAAGCTTCTAGTTACTGTGGCTTTAAGGTAGAAGCATAAGGGATTTTCCTGTTTAATAGGCATGAATGCATCTGTCATCGCAGCCTATCGAGCACAGTGTGCTGTTAAGCTAGAAAATGTCAGCCCTGCTCTATAGTGAGGGGCAGAGGGAATGAGGTGACCAGTCACATTATGTATCCATTGTAATCCTCTTTTGTAGCCAACAGCAAATGAAGAGCATTTTCTTTGAATTACATTTTAATTAAAAGATAAGACTTCATATTTACTGCAGTAGCTGTAATGCTAATAACCTTCAAAATAAAAGATGTCTTTCAAAATAAACATAACTGCTCATTGATGCAGTGCAAAGTCATTCATCAGTTGTCCTTCTGTGTACACTCAAAGCAGACCATGATCTGCCTGGTTCATTCCAGATGATCTTTACTCAGAAATAGGGAGATGAGTCAGGAATTATCCTGCCTTCAAGAACTCTGCAACTAAAAATCTATCATCCATGAAATATGGAAGAACTTTGATCAAGCAAAAATATATAAATGGGATATTGCATTTCTAAAAATAAAAATGTCATAAAAAACATTACTGTATTAACTCGGTCTATCCATACTGTATATTATGAGTCCAAGCTGCTTTTATTCCGAAGCTTTGGCATTTTAATAACCACTTTAATGAATGCCTCCTTTTTCAGTGAATACTCATTCCCTCCTACGAGCTGTCTGAAGCTGTTTGGTTTGTAGCAACTGGTGCTGTCGTGCATGCTATCATTATTACAGTTCTCCATATGGCCCACAGCATCAGACGCAGTTAATATGCCGCTTTTAGCTCACAGCAGTTCTTGAGGAGTGCCTATAACCTGCTGGTCAGAACAGCTGGGATTTTCCAGCACCCAGTACTCTTGTCATTCTCACATGGTCAAGCGACGTTTTCAACGCCCCCACCACACTTCTGTTTTACTTACCCCCGCCATAACATTTCCAGACTCTTCACGCCCTAGTTTAGGTTTTCGATCGCTCTAGCAGAAAGACAATTTGGTTATGTTTTTGACCTTTTTGTCCGAAGAGCAGATTGATGGGGTGGTCAGTGATTGAAAAAACATCAGCCTCTTCTTCCCCATTGCATAACTCATCATAAAATGTTACCATCTAAGTTTGTCTCCTTTTTTTAAGTCTCACTTTGTATTGGTGGGGTTTGAAGATGGTGTTGGGGGACCTCCCTGTTTTCTCTCTGTGGAGGCTGGCTAACTGAACATGTGGCACTGCAGGCGGGGGTCTATGGACAGGCCCTGCTGGGACATCCCCATACAAGGGTCTTACTAAGATACTGCCAATTTCCTGTTTACCACCACCCACTCCAAACCCCTGACCTTTATTGGTGGCATTTTGCAGTAAAAGGAAATCTCCTTCAGAATGTTACACCTCATGGTTTGTTCTTTTGGTCCTGTTGGTGCTTTATTTGTTGGTTCCAGCAAGGTTCAGGATGGGTGTAAAATTCCAAGCTGCTTTTCCACTCTTGCCCATATGGCACTGTTAGCGTGATTGCATGGTTTTATACACCATTCCATATATTTTTAACTTTCTCATCACAGCTACACTGGGGTTGGGTTTGTAGCAGAGCTCCTCCTAACGGGGGGAATTGTTAAGGAAGAGACCTCAGTGGGGCTACTCATGGGACAGACACACTATAGCATAGGTAACCAACCAGCCAGCATATTCGAGAGGTGAGAGGAAACTTGAGCACTCAGCACAAACCCATGCACACCTGATGAGAACATGCAAACTCCTTACAGAAGATGCCATAGCCCAGAATCAAACTCGGTACCCCTGAGTTGTGACAGAGCAGCACTGTCAAGTCACTTTGCTGCCTGTATCATCTGTTCTTAAATGTACCTGGTTATTACTAAAACGCCTTGGCCTTCATAGTTTGTTTCGATTTTCCACTCACAGCCTGTCATCTTTGCAGTTTGGAACTGGAAACTAAGCTAATTTGCCAGTATTTCTGTGGCATGATGTGGTTCTTCCTTTCCAAAAAAAAGTTTCAGTTGTAATTTCATTTAAAGCACAAAACACATGCAGAGTTCAAGGTCCCTTCTCGGCTTTTTGCATACAGAGTTTCTTCATTGTTTTTTTTTAGGTGAAGAAAGAAAGCAACTTTGACTGAGGGGGACTGTCAGACACAGTCTTCTGTATTACTAGAGTCGTACAGTACCATGTTAGTTCAGTTTCAGCATTTCCAGTTTGCCCAAATTAATTAGATTCTTAAAAGCTCTTCCCAGATTTAGTAATGGGCCATTTTGTCTGGCCCCTCACTGTGTTTCCATAGAAACCTTCCTGGAGGAGGTAGCAAGCCGAAGGACAAGTTTGCTTGTTTTACGCCTAACTGAAGGACAGATTGAACTATCTCTGAAGGATTTCCGTGACCTTTTTTTAATTATAAAATGGCTTGTGATTTTTTAAACCAAAACACTTTGGTAGTTTTTACTTTGTATTTTGTACTGTAATGCTACGTTCCAGTTCCATAGAAACCTGAGAGTATTTCTGAGATTTTTGATGTTTGATAATCCAAGGCCATTGCCACAATAGAGCTGCATCTGTATGGTAGCTATTCTGTCTCCAAGATAGCATTGCACACAATCTTATTAGGAAACTAGATTAATTAGCAGTTTTATAAAACCATATATTTATTCTGGCATATGTCCATCATAGGTTTATAACTATCAGGGAGACAGTGGACAACATATTCCCTTTTCCTCCCCAGTAGTAAAGGATAGCATTTAGCAGGCTGCTCTCCACATTGTGACCTGACTCTCTTGGTCTTTTTTTTCTCAAAATATTGGATCTTACCTAGTTAATGAATCCCAGACCCTCCTCTGTGTGAACTCTTTTAAAGAATTTGCTGACCTAATTGATGAGCTCCAACTTATTACCCAAGAAAACTTTTTTGGGAGGTTACGAATCGCTGGTTTGTTGCAACAAGCGCCATCGCTGACACGTGCTCCTTTTTTGTGCTGTTTCTCTCAGGTTGCGGGAGAGCAGAAGTATCACCCAGAGTGCTTCACGTGTCTGAACTGCCGGGCGTTCATCGGAGATGGAGACACCTACGCGCTGGTTGAGCGCTCCAAGCTCTATTGGTGAGCGTGGGTCCGGGGTGGAGAATGGAAGGGGGGGTGGTTTCTCAGTGCACTGGTCGCAGACGTTTTGAGTTCCACTCTGGATCATGTCATTAGACCTCGGCAGCTCCTTGAGTGCTGAGACACCATTGTGCACAGCAGTTGAGCTAGTTTGGTCTGGGCTCTTGCAGCAGTGCAGTAGCCCCTGCGTTTGTGCAACTTGTGATGCTGTCTGTGAGTAATGCACCATTTCTCCAATCTGAACTGAACTCCTGCAAGTCGCTACGGGGTTCGTAGGCAAATCAAAGATGAATGGGTCAGAAGGTGGTTACAGTAGCTTGGAGGAGCCTACCTGCACTTCCTCATTCTGCTCACGTGCATATAGGAGTTGCCACTGTGAACGAAGACTTAAAGACACACTGAATCCAAGTTGAGTGGGTAAAAAATTAAGCACTTATTGGCTTAAAAAAACAAAAGGGGTTTCATCTTCCTCATTTGCTTTACAGCAGTTTATCAATCCCAGAATCATATCAAGCTACTTCTTGAAGGATTCCAACCTTTAGGAGCCTGGGACTTTGTGCTGATGATAAAAAACTTTTAATTAAACAGCAGTAGCTTTGTATTTAATCATTACAAATGTCTTAAGATTTTCAGAGAAGATGGGTGGTATATACCACGAGTGGTAAATCAACCTTTGCTGGGTTCTGTGACAATATCTGTGCAGCCTGAGAGAGAACTGAAAATCTAGAACAGTGGTCAGGTTGATGAGGAAGACCTCTTCCTGAAACAAGGAAGCAGAACATTATTTGAGATACAAAGCAGTACTGTGTGGCGTGCCGCCAACCCGGAATAATGATTAATAGATAAGATACAGATGGAGAGATAATGACGTTTTTTAAAATTCCAGACACTATTTATGGTTCCTTAATAAAATCTGTGACTAATGAGAAAATTATCTTGGCCACTTCATCTGTTAAAGATGAATCTGATAATGAGTATTAGATTCTGTTGAGCCAGACACAGAAAGATATTTTACCACTATCTTTTACTAACATGTTATAGGTTACAGTAACACTCTGGAATGATGCCACTGCAGCAAAACAAGATATGGATTTAACAGTATAAAAACTAAGTTTTATGTATTATTGATGAAATAAACGTTTTCTTGCCCTGTCTTTTGCATGTATTGTTTCCGACACCAAGTCCTCCACTAGTCCATCTTTAATGTTCCTCTTTGTAGTGGACACTGTTACTACCAGACCATTGTGACTCCGGTGACCCTGCCAGACACCCCGTGTTCCAAGATCCCCCACACAGTGACCCTGGTGTCCATCCCAGCCTCCACAGACGGAAAGCGAGGTTTCTCCGTGTCCATCGACCAGGGTTGCAGTCCGAACGGCTTCGGGTCAGACCACAGCCACACTGTCCGGGTCTCAGAGTACGTGCACCGTTGCTTTAGTGGGTTCTGCCTCTCTGTTACAAAATCTAAACAACTGGGCAACACTGTACAGTTCTTACTGCTAGTGTATACATCCCTCACAATCCATACAGTATATGTGGGACAGCAGTGTGGTTAGGGTCACACACTTGTAACTGGATGGTTGTGAGTTGACATCCCAGGGGAGACACTGCGGTTGTACCCTTGAGCAAGGTACTTCACCCAGTAAAATGTCTAGCTGTATAAGTGCTTTGCATCAGTGAAATAAAGTAGTAGCACGTTAGCAATTTATCACCAAAGCAAAATGTTTAAATATTGATGAAGTGTACTGCCCTCTGATGAGAGTTTGGCTTCAGCAAAGTATAAGCTGCAAAGCAACTTGCTGGTGTGATTTGGGGTATCTTTTCAAAACATTCAAAACTCAAACAGCTATGTAATCCTGCTTGCATGACATTGAATTTGTAGTTATTAATTGTATCCTGCACTTGCGATATGCTTGACTGTTTAGAGTGGACACAGAATGCATCAGCCCAGATGTGAAGAATTCCATTCATGTCGGGGACCGGATTCTGGAGATTAATGGGACACCAATAAGGAATGTCCCTCTGGATGAGGTAAGCGCAAAACCCACTTTCTCAGTCCCATGGAAACTGTCACAGAATTCGGTATTTCACTAGCATTAAAGAGAATATGCAAAGTTGAGCCTGGTCATTTTTGGGATATCTAGGGACTTGTAAGGAAAACATGGTTCTTGCTCTGTGTGGTGTTGGTGGATGAGTGGTACCCTTTCTCTCCTCTGGGACAGATTTTCTGAGTGAATGCCCCATTATTGTAAAAGAAGACATTGGGCTACAGGAGATGCTCTCTTGTGAATGAGACATTAAACTGAGGTTTTCACAACATGGTCATTAACATCCTCTGTGTCCTGGATACATTCCACATAAACACCAGTGAAGCTGTATTATGCTAATAATTATTAATGTTGTTTGTTGTTGTTCTAAAGATGAATGTACTGTACTTTGGGAGAAAATAAAAATGAGTCTTGCTTTTTAAAAACAGAGACTGGCAATGCATCGCTTCTGACCTCAGCAGTGCGTTCTGTAGGTTTTGAAGTGTAGATTTAGGGTCTCATGGCACTCCAGTACCTGTGGTTGGATGCCGAGAGGTGTCCTTTAGGGACAGGGGAGCTGGTGTAGCTGAAGCGGGGGTTCTGTCTGACGCCTGACTCCTGCCGTCTCCGTCTCGCAGATTGACCTGCTGATCCAGGAGACGAGCCGCCTGCTGCAGCTCACGATCGAGCATGACCCCCACGACCCGGGCACGGGGGAGGAGGTGGACGGCCCGAGCCCCCTCTCGGACGTGGGGAGCCCCGTCAAGCCAGTGTTGCACCCCCCCCACAGCGACGTCGCGGGCATGCGATCCCGTATGATCACGTAAGGGCTCTAGGGGTTTGTGAGTGCAGCAGGGAACAAAGCGCTAGAATCACCGCACTCTGTGCAAGACTTTCTCAACAGGAACTGTAGATGGATATGTTTCAAGAGAGCACGAAGGAGGACAGTACTTCACTCCACTGTGACACTTACCAAGGAGAAGGTGGTCCCCCCCATTACAGTAAATGTGTAATAGTTGAGAGAGTTCAGTTTTGCACAAGGGAATTACTTGTACATGGATTTGCAATATTGGGGTAAATATAGTTGAATTTCCCTTTACATATGATGTCAAATAAAAGCATTCTATATAAAATAAAGTAGCAAGTGGATTTTTAAATAAGTGTCAAGTGGCTTAAGATAGGAGTCTAATTGAATGGGCTTGACTTTGGGAAATGATGGTTTCACAGTGAATTTGACTCAGGTACTGTTTGTTCCCTATGTCTCTAATGATCTTCCCTGACCCCTCTTTTACCCTCGGTCTCCTTGTTCACTCTGCCCAGTCGCAGCTGCAGCATCGACAAGTCGCCCTGCTCCAGTACCGCGGCGTCGCCTCTGTCCCAAAGGAAGGACATCGGGCGCTCCGAGTCCCTGCGCGTCGTTTCCAACCGGACGCACCGCATCTTCCGGCCCTCGGATCTCATCCACGGGGAAGTGCTGGGGAAGGGCTGCTTTGGCCAGGCCATCAAGGTACCTGGGGCTCCCGACACACCGTCTGCCATGTGCATTTACAATGGAGCATGTTTCTCTCCAAGGGCCCATTGCTGGGGATGGTCTTATCTATCCAGCCTTTGTCAGGAAGCCTCTTATTCCTCTTGCTAAGGGTTGTAGCAACCTGCACAAGGCCAGACTGCACCCTGGAGGGCCTGACAGTGTTTCACATTTAGAAATAGCAATAAACTGAGCCAGACCGTGGAGCGTGGGAGGAGACTTCTCAAAAACCCTTCCAGAGGCTGGAAGAACATGCAGCCACACAGAATGCACTCCTGTCCTCAAGGGCTGTGGGGCAGCAGTGCAAACCAGCTGCCGGTCTCGCCCTCATTTTTAATCTTTACATTTTTAATCATCTTATTCTCTTACAACCTCTGTTTTATTTTTTCTGAGGTCCACCAGCCTTTATCTTTCCTTAAGCTGTTACTAATTATTCAGGCTTAACCTCATCTTGTCATGGGTAAACAAATATGCTGAATGGCGTGGACTTTATGGATTATGTGTTAAAAGAACTGTAGTATGTAAGATTAACAGTAGATGGCAGCATAGATATTACTTTTTCAGTCTTGCTCAATCATATACTGTAATATGCAAAGGAACAAGTAATCGGTTTATTCCATGCTGAAAAGAGAAGAAAGAAAACACAATGTTTCCACAGCTGAAACGTTGTGTTTTCTTTCTTCTTTTTTTCAGCATGGAGTAAACCAATTACTTGTTCCTTTGCAGCCTACGCATGCTGATGCAACTACGCACCTGAACTACTGTAATATGCACTTTCTATTCCTATGTCCTGGGTGTGATGGAGATCCCTGTAATAGTGGTGTCTGGGAATGGCTATAATTCGGTTTTATTTTCAGAAAAACAGGATGTTTTCAAATTTGCTGCAGTTTATTTTACGCTCTATAGTAAAATTGGTATATAGTAAAATTTACTTATAGCGTGACCTTAATTCAGCAATAACCTACTGCTCACAGGCGTTCGAGAATTGACAAAGGATGGCAGAACTCAGTTTATATTTGAATTTTTACACGTAGGACCTGACCATACTCCTGGCTAAACCTCTCCAGGATGCCGATGATGGGCAAAAAAAGAGTTCCAATAAGGAGTTGTTCTCACGCACAAAAAAAAATTCAGTGATTCATGATAGGTGTGAGTTTTATTGATGCTACTTCCTTTTCCTGTTAGGTGACACACCGGGAGACAGGAGAGGTCATGGTGATGAAAGAGCTGATCCGATTCGACGATGAAACTCAGAGAACCTTCCTCAAGGAGGTACAGTATGACAAGACCCCTTTCCTGGGGCACGGTGTCCAATGTGACGAGGATAGTGTTGCTTTCAGTCCAGAAACCAGTATTTCATTGCTGCCATTAGAGCTCCTTCCAGTAGACTTTGTGAGGTGTCGAGGACAAGAACAACAAAAAAAGAAAAAGGCTTTGTAGGCACAGCCCAACCCCATTCCTGCTCTCCTTCGAGGGTGTTGGCTGAATCTATTTTCAGCTTTGTGAAGTGGCTTGGCCTGTTTATAGATCATCCATAGAACACGAATAGCCAGATTCTAAAGAATGTGGCCTGAAGAACGGAACCTGCTTTTTTCAGTAAACTTTAAAATAAACACCTGAGCCGAGACTACTTCCCACCTGCACTCAGTATTGCTTTTCTGGAGTTTTTTCTTAGTTTTGGGATGGGGTTTCTTTATAAGGCTGGAACTACAGTCCATGTATGTCAATTAACCTAAAGAGAACCTACAAAGCTATGAAAAAAATAATACTTTGTTAAGCAAGCTTACCAGCCCGAAGTAACTCTGGTTAAGTGTGGATTTTTGTGCCATCTTATTCAGATGTAATTCATCACATCTGTGCAGAAAAGCTCCCAGTGGCCCAGAAAGCTGAAGTCTTCTTCTGCACACCATGTCCACATAATTGAGTTGTGTTGATGGATTAACATTTGTAGCTGTCCGTCTTTGCAAACCAAAGGTCATGAGTAGAAACTACACAGACGTGCATTTAAAACCAAAAGCAGGAGATACTGCTTTATACAAAGGGCAGTATCAGAACCAATGGCCAGCTGCCCAGCTATGTTGAAGCAGATACCCTAGCTTCTTTTAAGCAACAGCTGGATGAGATCTTTGGATTCATTAGCTACTAGCAACCAAAAGAGGTGTAGCTGAATGGAATGTAACCTTGTAACCACTGTAACCTTCCTAGCGTGTTGTATAAGACTTCTGAGAATGGTGATTAAGAGAATGCACTCACCAAGAGAAAGGAGCTACAGTAGAGTTCTTGTAAATAAAGCAATCTCTGTGACTGCAGTTGTTTCTGCTTGCCACCTTGTACACTGTATTTATGGTGTGAAAGCACCACAGCTGAGGGTGAAGACCAAAATATGGCCCCTGCAGCAACGATTTGCCAAACAAATTGCATAAATCCAAAACAAGGGATAATTACCCCTGTGCAATACTATTATTATATGGCCATTCATGTGGCGTTAAGCACTGCCAAAGTTATTTTAACTGAAGGGATGTGTTCCAATAAAATAAAGGAGAGAAATGCAAAGACAGGACAGCTATGTCTTCATTTTCAGCAGTCAGGGGTGTTTTTTAAGTGGCACTATCTAATCATTACAGCATTTCAGTGGAGAAAAAAACGTACAAAATGAAATATGAACTGGGAGTGCTAACCCTTCCATTAACCCCTGCGGAATTCAGGTGAAGGTCATGCGCTGTCTGGACCACCCCAACGTGCTGAAGTTCATCGGGGTGCTGTACAAGGACAAGAGGCTCAACTTCATTGCCGAGTACATCAAAGGGGGGACCCTGAGGGAAATGATTAAGACGATGGTGAGTTAATGCCGTTTCTCTTAGTGCTGGCAGCCTTCGAACTAGTCTTCAGCCCCGCTCTGCCTGAGAGGCAGGTGTTGAAGTGAAACCGCTTGTTCAGAGAGTTGTGTTACTGGCTCAGTGACTCCTGGTTGTTTCATAGTTGTTTTAACCCCTCAGCTCAATGTCTTTACAAGATGCGAAAGTAATGTAATTTGACTAATAAAAGGTTTTTTATGGGTTTTTTTGTGCTCGTACACAGAAATAGAGAGGGTGAACAATTTAATATCATACAGTATGTGAGCTCTGTAATTCCATAATGCTGAGCTCTGACTCTTTAATGGTGTTGTTTTCTCTCAATTAGGACAGCAAATATCCATGGAAGCAGAGAGTGAGTTTTGCCAAGGATATTGCAGCTGGAATGGTATGTTGATGAGAGAACGTCTGTAGCGTATCTTCTCTGTGAATGGTAATTGAACAGGATGGTACGAAAAAAGAAAAGTAAAAAGTGTTTTGTAATGAGTACTCCCCTTTAAGCAAGGGAAGCCATTTCTGTGCTTTTCTGTCTTGCACTGCCCTCTTGTGTTCCTATGCACTAATTGCACACAGTGAATGCTGGTCCATCTTACTCAACGTGACCTCCAGGACTAGCTCACTGATAATTGAATGTCGCCCATCCTCAGCAATCGGTCATCTTTCTCTTGTGCAGGGCTTTCACACAGATAGAATAATGCCTCAAGGTATTTACTTTGACCTGCCATAAATTGTTCCTTGTGCTGAAAACACGTGAAATATGCCTTTCAGAAAAGATTGAGTCACAATGCGTTACTTAACATACCGCTTCTTATCTTTTAGACGTACCTGCATTCCATGAACATCATTCACCGGGATCTGAATTCCTACAACTGTCTTGTACGGGAGGCAAGTATAACATTGTCTGCACGTTTTGCTGCGTTACTAATGTGTCTGTCCCACTGTAGTAGAAGGGCTCACTCGCAAGACTGGAATGACAGGCCGTCAGGGCAAAAGTGAATTCACCTTGTTAGTTATTTTAAAAATCTTTTGGGGTGAGGCGAAGACTGAAAATGAATCTCTTACTGACTTCTGAAATAGAATGCGCGTTTAATGTTCCTGTAGAGGACAGGCCTCCTGCTGTAGTTCTGAGGAGACCCCTTGTACGCACCACTGCTGTTAACAAATTCAGCACATAACAGAGAAATTGAGTGTATGGCAAAAGCTAAACGTCTGCATTGGGTTAGTAATAACAGCAAAAATGCCTTTTCAAAACCCAACTCTGTACGTAGTGAGAAGAAGTGCAATAAAAAGTATAATAAAAACTTAAACAAGAACGTACAGAATGTAGGACAATCAGACATACTGTAGGCCCTAGTAAACAGGATATAGAAAGTTTAAGGAGGCAAAAAGAAATGGCACCAGCAGTAGAAAATGAAATTGATGGGATTGTTATTGAAAAGCCCTTTAAGTGTGAGATCTGCAGCGGAGATGTGGCAGAGAGAGCTGACGTTCCCTTCCTGGCCTCTCCCTACAGAATAAGAGTGTGGTTGTGGCCGATTTCGGGCTGGCCCGCCTCATGGTGGAAGACAAGAACCAGGACAGGCTGTCCGCTGGGAAGCTGCCTGGGCTGAAGAAGCAGGACCGCAGGAAGAGGTACACCGTGGTGGGCAACCCCTACTGGATGGCCCCCGAAATGATTCATGGTAAGGAGGGAAGGTGGAACTCTTCTCACGGCTGAACCCTGCTGGGGACGCCACAGAACAGCTGCTCAAAAACACGAAATGCCGCAACTGAAATGTGACACTCATTCTTTTTTTAATACTGATGCAATTATATACATAATTGGCTTTTTCAATGCCATATAATAGGTCTTCTTGTAATGAGATTTCCAATGCTGTTTCAAAAGAGATCTAAAGGTGATTAATGGTTGACTGAACTACAATGCATGCACTCCTGTTGCCAGTGGACTGTCATATGTTACAGTATGTGAGCTGTAGAGTCCACATTTGCAAAAACATTTGCTGTTTTTGCTCATTTCAAGCTTTTGTGCAACTCAAAAGGCCTGTAGTTATCTGGGGGATATAAACCAAACTCCTTTGTGGTCTTAATAGATTGTCATATCCAAATGTGTCATCTGAAAACCTTAAGTTTATTGCTGAAGGAAATGTATGTCTCATGTTGACAGACTGTACAAGGCTGTGTTTGAAATACCAAAGCCAAAGAAAAGTCTTCGGCAAGCTATCTTTCTACTCTATACTAAACTAAGCTATAACAGAAAACTAAAATGGGTGCCACAACAATCCCAACCCCTCTTCTTCTTACACCTCTCTTGTCCCGATGTCCCGTACTGGCATTGAAAACAGGACCGCTCTCTTCAACCAATCCAGAGAGAGACTTAATGTAGGGATACACCCACTTCCAAAAATGCATTCCATTTGCATGGGAGGGGAGTAAAGAAACTGAACGTACAGTAACAATGGTCACCCTTGTTACATTTTATGATGTGTATCTGACTTGTTCTCTTTCAGGGCTGAGCTATGATGAAAAAGTAGACGTCTTTTCCTTTGGAATTATGCTCTGTGAGGTGAGTGCTTTACAGCACAAACTGTGCAAGATATGTAACAATTGACTTGGTGGGATAAGGACAGCCTTTCATCTAGCTTTCATTTTGTATACCGTCTTATTTTGGAACATCAGGGTTTTTTTTTCATGTGTAGCTCCAATATGGTAAGAATTTAATCTGCATCAGGGGCAATGTGAAGTGCTCAGAATAGCTTTGTGGTTTCATACATGTAATTTTCAGGCACATGTAATGAAGGAAGGCTTTTCCTGATGTGGTGCCAGAGAGTACAAAGGAACCAGATTATAGCTGCAAGTCCAGATCAGTCGGCCAATGTGGTTTCCTGCTCCTCCTTTTCAGATTATCGGCAGGGTGAATGCAGATCCGGATTACCTGCCTCGGACGATGGATTTCGGCCTGAATGTGAAAGGATTCCTGGACCACTACTGTCCCTCTGACTGCCCCCCCTCCTTCTTTCCGATTGCTGCCCTGTGCTGCGACCTGGATCCTGAGAAACGGTGAGGGGCAGTGACACTGGTCTCTTACACCCCCTTTCCAGCCGGGCCCCTGGCAAACCTGAGCCTAGCTGAGCCTGCGCAGTGAGTTTGGGTTTCGGCTGAAGGGCACGAGAACAGTCAGGAGCGCAGCAGCATAAGACAGATCTCCAACAAGAGGAAGCCATTCGATCTCATTGAGCTCAAGGTCTTGAAAGTCAAGGTATTCACTTCAGCAACAGGCTGGGTAGCTTGCTCCAGACCCCCACAACCGTCTGAGTAAAGAAATGCCTCCTGTTCACTGTCATCATAAGCCTTATACCTTTTCCTAAAGACTGAATCTGCCCAGATTGTGCCAAGAGACATGCAGACCAGGGCGGAATTTTTCTTGTTGTCTTCTCCTACACAACCAGCTGTGATTCTCTCTCTCTTTTGCACGCCGATGGATGTAAATGGTGGTTAAGCCCGCACCCTGGCCTTACTGCCAAACCAGTACCAGAAGGCTTGTGTGGCTGGAGTTTCAGGATGTGGGAAAACTTTTAATTTTAGCTCAGGCACACCTGGAAAGACCTATAACCATATGTGAAAGTCATAGTAACAGTGTTCAAGCACTTTAAGTAACAACACACCCTTACTGTATATGCTCTTTCTGTTCTGCTCGTTACTACACCTTGATGTCTACTGAGGTGTAGGTGTAGAGACCTTTGACATGCACTACTGATTCTTTGCCTGTACTGGGCTGTAGAGGCTAATAATCTGCATTCTGGTTCTTGAGATCTGAGGGTGGTCTTGTTTTCATTCTGCCCGAGCTCTATATGAGTTAACTTAAAGAACTGTTTACAAGGCTTTAACCACAAAAGATTACATGAGTTCCATGTGAAAACCAGCAACATACAGTAGTGAGTCTACAGGACCTATGTTGAGAATTGTGACCCTAAATAATGGAAAAATGTAACCTAATCATAGTGTAGTATTTGCAGGTCAATCATACTGTGACTGATGACTCCAACATTTGGAATAGATCAGAAGTCTGCATGGGATTTTAAAGACCTACTTGATACGCTGATAATGCAGTCAGAAATGATTTTAATGGCAAATAGATGATTGTGAGTATTAATAAAGTCCTCAGCTCCCTGTAGCTGTGCAGGTTGTATATCAATGCTGGCACGTGTGTCCCCCAGGTGAATGACTGTCCATGCTGTGCTTATTTTAGACCTTCCTTTGCTAAGCTGGAGGAGTGGCTGGAGAATCTGAAGATGCACTTGGATATTCGCTTGCACCTCACGTCAGAACTGGAACAGGTCAAGCGGGCCTTCTGGGAGAACCACGCTCGCTCCGAGAACGGGCTGCACACACACCCCGAGCATCCCGAGCATCCCGAATAGCCCTGCCCCGCGGGGAGCAGGCTGGGACTGGACGGGTGTGGATCCTGTTGGTAAGACGCAGCGAGAGACCAAGCCCACGTCAGCCAGAGCTCCCCAGAATGGCGGCTGTCCCACAACGTGTAGGTAGTTAATGTTGGCACTGGTGACCACCATCGCTGTCTGCTCTGGGGAAATCTAGAACACAAAAAATATTGTTCTCTGATCTTCTGTGGTTAATAAGCAAAAGGCACTTTTACATCAGATGAACCTGGAATGTCACTTCATCACAACGGTCTTAGCCTGTTGAATGTTAGATTCCGATTTGTTACATATTCACCCCCAGATACATATTATACAGTCATTGTCATGGATATTGTTATACTAATACTGAAATTATTGTGTGAAAACATCTGGGGAAAAACACTACATGTGTTGCAGTTGCAGATGTGTTTTCACCAGTGTTCGTGGATCGTTTGAAGGTATGTGTTTCCTACAGCCTCAGATCCTCTGTCTTCAATTGTCATTTAAAAGTTTTGACTTGGCTTTGACTTTCAACTGTAGTTTAAATGATTTGTGAAACAGCGTAATCCTACAAATTAAGGTCCCATTTATGTCTCAACGTGAGTTGAAACTGGCTTCAGATCTCATTGCAGAACACAAAAAATGTAGCATAATAAACAACAATGCATGATTGTAAACAGCCCACTTGGGTCAAAATGTAAACTTTGTTAGATATATTTGTGCTCTCTGATGTCAGTGGCACTAGTACTATCGTAAGATCAAACAGGATTCTCATCTGTAATGTGAGTGTGACTCCAGCATCAATTCCTCAGTGTCACATGCTGTGTGTATCAGTGACCTTGTCTGTCTGCTGTGACTTTAAGTCTTATAGGTAAACTCTTTATGACTTTATACACAAAACATTTTGACTTTGTTTTCATCAGAAAAAAGATGATTTTTTAACTTTTACTTTTCCTCTGGAGTTGAAAACTCCTTTCTTATGTTCAGCCCCCAGGTGACTGTATATAATCTGTTAAACATGTACAGTAAATGTTTTAAATATGATATATGTACAGAAATATTTTATATATTGATGCTTCATTGCCATATTTTTATTAAGCTATATGTAAAATAAATCTGGATTTAAAACAATATCTTGCTTGGCAATAGACACTGGCGTTTTACAGAACAAAGTGACTGCAGTACCCAGCAGCTGTTTAGTGTTGCTGCTGTGAAGGGTGAAGAGTGGAATGTAAAGAAAATGAAGGAATGTATCTTCTAGTGTTCTGTATAGCCCTCTTTAAAGCTTTCCCCTTGTTTTAAATTGCCTGCAATTGAGGAATTTCTTGCAATGTGTTGTACGTCAGTGTACTAAAACAATATCACTTGACGTCTCAAGTCTGCACATTAGTCACAGGAGCTGCCACTCTGCATGCCCTACAGTGCAGGACTGACATGCTTTCGATCTCTAGGCTATCTTTTACTGTGAATGACACAGAAGTAACAAGGTGACTTGAGAGAAAGCATTGTGCTGAGATGTGCGTTTTGCTTGTTAACTAATGTCTTAGCCTTGTGCATCTTTAATGGGAACATTAGAAAGGAAGGATCTGAAGATGAAGGAAGCTAATTGAGGAATTCCTCAAATTAAAAATGTAGCCCAGTTCCTCAGAGGGTCTGTGTCTTGGGACCTTTAGAATATCTTTGTAAATACATGTACATTTACATGCAGCACATTGTTGGCCTTAACTAAAAGGTGAAAGAGGTGCAAAAAGCAGCCCCTTGCTCCACAGATAGGCACTAACTGTAGTTCTCACTCCAGCATGTACTCAGTATGTTCCATTCTCCTTGAAACGTTTTGAGTGTAATATACTTCTCACTTAAATGAAACTCGTGAGATTTGATTTAGCCATTTTTAATAACATTCTGGGGGCTGGCCCTTGAATCCTGTTTTTAGGATCCAGAACCACAGCACTGCTGTTGAACTGTCTCTCACTACTCCCAAGCCGTTTCCTGTTTACAAAGCCTGATACTGTAAATATGTCTGTAAATGTCTGTGCGTGTACAATACTAGTCTTTTCTCTGGGATGAGCTGCATGGCATGATGGCTAGTTGTTAGTACTTCTACTGCTTCAAAACCAAGCTATACTTGTGAACCTTAGCAAACTTAAACAAAATAAAGGATGGCAGGTTTGTAGGAACAACAGAGACTAGCTAAAGGAAAAGAAAACCACCGCATTGCTCTATAAATGCAACCACTGTAATCTTTCTGTAGAATTTTATTTGCACTATATTTTTGAGAACAGCTGCCCTAGAGGCATTTTTTCTTTGGTAACTGGAGAAAGATTTATCGGCGTTGGCTATTTAATGAATGCAAGTCGCTGAAGGAACATTTTAAAAAGTAAAAGTGGGTTCCAGGGAATCTTCCATTAGCAAACAGAACTGATTGCAGGTGTATTCTGCATACAAACACATCACATGAGGCTTTTCCCAACATTTAACACAGCTCTGTGCTTGATCATTTAAAGTGTTTCCAGTGTGCCTGAAAAGACACGCACTTGGCATGTTTTTCACTTAATTCTTATTTAGTCATTTTCACTTTTTAAAAAGGAGCTAAAAAAAGCTCTTCTTGTGTGCCTGCAATTTTTGTTTTTATTTGAATGGTGTTCAAATGATAGAGAAAAGTTTTATGTTGGCTTTTGGTTTTCATGAAAGATAAAGCCAATGTTAATAATGTAGTTGGCTTCACTGTACATTTTGTTTTCTGGTTGTTGTATTTCTGCATTTCACCTTGCTCATAAAATAGAGGAGGCTGCAGAACAAGAGCAATCATGTATTTGTGCGTGCGCTGCAATTTGCTGATAGGCAGAGAAAAAAAATCTACGAAGACCTGATTGAATTCTTCCTCCTGCAGCTGCTGGGCTTGGAACCAGGAGGAGAGAAGGTCGTTCTGAGAAGGTGTAAGCCTGAATGTAAGACAGATTGGATGTTTTAAAAACTACATGCAATTTGTCTCTGTTTGCTATTGAAAGACAGAAAAATTTCTCCTTGGGCCCTCCTAATGCCTGCAGACAGATCCTTTGTTTAAGATGTTCTGTGTCAAGACAGTCTGTGATACTACAGTACATGTAATCTCCACCCAAAAGTTCCACATCAGATTCCTTTTCAAGAAATCCCCAACTTTCATTGCCTCTTGAAGAACCACTGTAGGCCTTCCTTTATTAAAACCATTTAAAGCCCCCAGTCAGAATGGGAATCTCAAGATGTTAAACCAAACATAAATGTGCAGGAGTAACATTATGATGGTATGTTATGCCAAAACATACCTTTATTTTACCAGTAATATCCATTGAGAACAAATTCTCATGTACAGTGACAGCCCTCATACCCAATTCCACAGCAGGGCATGGAGCTGTCAAGGAAGCATCAGGTATTTCACCTGTGCTTCCAACCTGCAACCACTCCATTCCGGAGTCCTAACCACTAGTCCATGCTGGTGCCAGAACTGTTTGGCAGGATTGTTTTGGAGAATGTCTTTTTGGGTACCAGCCCCTTTGGATACCTGCTCCTCTGCTACGTTTTACAAACAAGTCACTACGTTGCCCAGAGCTCTCTGAAGTTAACACAAGGTTAACTAAATATGAGAGCCTAAATATGAGAAGGCTTCACAACATTATTTTAAATCAGCATCCGTTGGCTTTCACGCCTTAAAAAATTCCCCTCTATTTAGAACGTTTTGCAAAGCTTGCTATATTTAAAGAGCGTGTTGCCACAGTTCTTCTTTACAAAGGACCATTACCTCTCATAGCTGTGCCTTTGTTTTAAGCTAGCCTTGCCAACGACTTGCAGCTAGTTTGTTTTAAATTATTTTATATGATAAATACAAGCCTGTATAGATTTTTTATCATTGCTAATATCTTGTTTAATTACATTCTGTCCAGTCTCTTGTATCATGTTTTGTATGTATCATATCTTTGTGGTCTTTTTATTATCTGTGAATTATAATTTTTTATTGTTCTTATTTAATTATTTTTTTTACACAAGCTGTGAAAAACATTCTGTGCACTTTAATCCAAGAAGTGAACCTTGAGAGTCTATGGAGATGACTCTGTATTTCACTGGAGCTGGAATAAAATGGCCCATTCCCTCAGATCTTTTGTCTCTGTGTTGGTTTGTCTGTTTTTAATCTTTACAGTTTCACAATAAAGTACACAGGGCTTGGAACAGTTCTACATTTTACATTACATAAGCTTTCTTAACCCAAGGATTATGTTATCACATCTTAGTGGCTTTCCTGGTTTCTTCATTCTTACCAATATATTTGCATTCTGTTTTTTGCTGTAGGCTTAATGAAAGTGTAGTCGTGCAGTATTTCTAACCCAAATGTCCTCAGCAAATTCTGCACAGTGCAGGAGACGTATTTAATGAAGACAAAGAAAAAACTGGCCTTTAAATGTGCTGATCCAAATTCTCCTGGAGAACCTGCAGCCTGTGTTAAAAGCTAAGATTTCAGAATTGCATTATGAGATTTGCAGGCATGCACTTATTGTTTATATGGATGTTTTTCATTACTTAGGTATTTGGTTGTTTGTTGATATATTTCTATTGCTATGTTGATATATTGCTATACTGTATATAGCAATATACAGTAGAGTAGCAATATACAATTCACCACTTTTCATCTAAGGATTTTGCACTTTGAGTAGGTAATAGGGAGATGAAAGAACCATCCATCCTTTTTCGTTAACTACTTTGTTCTTGGCGGTAAACGCTACTTAACTATCTGCTTGCAGTGGGATTTACTACTTGTGCTGTATATCTGCTACTTGATGCTAAGTCTTACATTTATTTAAGAAGGGGGGATAAACAGGAAAGAGGTATTTACATTGAACAGGATGCTCAAATTACCGAATTAGCATTTCTGCAAGAATGTTCACTGGGTGTTTCTTTTTCGCCTATGTAAGACTTTCCTGTTTATAAAACTGGTAATTATGAACAGTTTTAGAGACGTATGTGCAAAATGTCATTTTGGGTGCAGCTGTATGAAGCATTGTGACTGTTCGACTGTAATTATCTTGGTTTTGCTCATCCTGACAGCCATTTTATACTTTGTTCTACAACGCTTCCGTAGAAATAACAAAACTTTAATAGCACTTATGGAGAGAACATCCAGTTAGGAAACGGACATTCGGAATTTTAATACGTCCTAATAAATTTTCACCACCTCTGTCGTGAGTGAATATCAGTCCTTTGGGAAAAGTAAATGAACTATGTCGTTCTTGGTGTTTACGTCATCGCCTGACGGCAGCTCTGAAGTGTCCATGTGCTGTTGTTTTCATTCCGCCGGCGGGGCACGCCATCCCTTGTGACGTCACTCCAGTCTGGCATTTAAAAAGCTCGCCTTGCCCTCCAGTGCATTCAGTACAGTGTGGAGCTACTGCAGGAAAACGCGCACAGGCAGGGGGAAATCTGAGCCGAGCGTTTGTACAAAAGCCCACAGGCTAGCGGGGCTTCTGTTAATCGCCATCTGGTGCGTCCAGCGCCGTGCAAACACGGAGGAATTACAGAAGTCGCATAAACCGCAGAATTCCGCGCGATTACTTATAAAAATAACCGAGAGCTTTCAGAATGGAGAACACCTCTTCCAACAGCAGGTTTAGAAGCCAAATGTTCAATCACGGTAAGTTCAAATTGATGTTTTTACTTAATAATCAGTTTTGCGTGCAGCCTTCCAAACGTTTAGCTTTAGGTTTGAATCAAGAATTACTGATAAGCACTTGGAATAAAAATGTTAATTTCTTCCATTTGGTCTTCGCCACCTTAAATCCTCTCTGGATGCTTTAAATATTTAATATTGTCTGAGCTGTGTGGAGACAATTCTTTAGTGATTTAATTATTTTGGCGCATTGGTTCTCGGCCAATAAGCTTAAGTAGCTTGTTTTCATAAATCGAACAGTTTCTTTTTATTTCAATGAAGGAGGAAATAAACTTTCCAGTGTGGATGAACACTGTAAGGTCAAAGAAAAGGCTGTCAAACTGAGGTGCAAAGATACATTACATCCCCGGTACTTGCAGAATCGGAGAATACAGGTTAATTATGTCTAATGTAGCAGATAATTACAGATGTTTGCTTATTAACTCTTGACATTTCGAGTCCTCGACAGCCAATTCTGTTTTACAGACTTCATTAGTCAATCCTATTTAAATGGGTGGCCATAACGATCTTAATTTAAAAGCCTTTATACCTTACCCAACGCTATTTATATTACATGGCCTCTGGAATAAAATTAAACGCGCTGCGTACCCTGCGGCTTCGGTGAATATTGAGGTCAGGTGTCACGTTTGAAAATGGAGATATTGATAGGGACAATTGGAAATCTGTGCTAGGTTAGCTGTTGCGTTCCTAGATGAGCACAGAAAATAAGGATTCAACGTTATTGTGCCCTCTCACTCCTAAGAGTGTGGAGTAGTTTTGTGAAGTAGGTTATTATTAAATTGCACATTTACCTAGTCTTGGCTAGTGGCCTTCACAGCACAAATCCAGGGTGGCCAGACTGTCTTGGACAGAGCTACCATCCAACAGGTGTTCAATTATCCGTTGCTAAACAGGTGCCTTGATCAATTAAGTGATTTAAAACTCGTTTGGAAAGAAAATACCAATCCCCTGTCACTCTCGAGGACCTCGGTTGTCAATTTGTTAACTGAACCAATTTACTGTTTGACACTTTTGTAAGTTGTGTTTGTTCCAAGGCTTTACAATCTGGCAATTAAAGGATCTAAGACCCTGTGGACTGTAGCTTTCCATGACCTGGCTTGGTCTCCAGTTTGGGGAGTCTTCAGTAAATCTGAAGTACATACATTTGACAGGAGTTAAGAACTCAATTAGTGAGCTACTCTTTGTCACAAATTGAGGTTACTCCTTTCACATAATGTGTTCTGAAAATATCCCATAAACGACTGCTATCAAGGAAAAGATAGTGACATACTTTTAAAAATGTAATGTTGGTGCATGGCATGTTTTTTTTTTATCATTTTATGACACATTTATGATGGCAAGGCTTCTCAGGTGGGATGTGTGCTAGGCAAGTGGTTTATTCCCAAAGGAATAGAGAAATGCTTTTTTTTTTCTCTCCAAGCATGCATCTGTATTTTGAAGTGTTGGAGAAAAGTCTAATGCCTGAGAACAGGAGGCACTGTCTACATAAGAGGTTTGGGAATATGGGACAAACGATCCACATTGTAGAAACTTAAACCAGGACTTCTTTCAAGAACTATCTTGACCAACTTCTTGGTTGAATTACAGTAGCTACAACCAAATGGGCTTAATGGGCAGTTTGTACTCCTCTCATTTGTAACATTTCTTATATTCTTATGAATATTAAAGATTCATCTTCAGCCAAAACAGTCCCTGATTTACATTTTCAAATATTTTTTTATATCATTACGCAAGTCCACCGTTTAGCAATCTGCATACTTGTTTGACAGAAACAGCCGCAGTCAGACCCATATAAAGCAGTCTGTGTAAGTTCAAAACTTTATAACCAGACCCAACACATTCACTTACCCACAAAGATCCAGCTAAATCAGTCTGATGTGGTTCTAGAAAGCCTTTCATTACAAATACAATTACCTGTCTTCATCTCCAGTGGTGATAATTGTTAGTGAAGTAAATTACTTGCCAGTGCGGTTACCTTTAATTACGAAAAGCTGAAATCCGTCTTGCAAGTGGAATTTAACAGTGTGAGCGTTTGCTTCCAGCTGTTCAGTTCGCTAACTGGCCTGCTTCTGGGACTGTTCCATAAAGTCTTGTACAAGCACTGAGGACCAAAGCAGAATAATATTACACCATTATAGAATAGATCCACAATGTACAGGTATGAGAAATAAGAGCTATGCAGTGTGAATGAAAAGCATTCTTCTTTTGAGCTATCACTGCCATGTTGTGAAGATGAAACACACAGGTGACCTTGGTCCACTGGCCAGCTGCAGATTACAAATATGATGCATGATGGCAGTTTTCTGTCATCTACAGGTCTGTGCCTGCACAACGGATAGTCACCCTCCACTTCAGGTGGTGGAATTTGCAGCTGGTGAGCTGCTAGTTCTCCAAGCCTGTTATGAGAACTTTAATTGCCTTAAACAAAAAAAAATTGACCTGCAATTAATACAAAGCTCATAGGCATCGTCACGTTAAAATAAGGGAAAATCATGTCGGGGCTATCTGCGCCTTCCTCCTTCCTAACATTAAGAAATGAATGTCCTGGATGTGGCTAGGGCCCCATGTGCTCTTGTTTATATCCTGCTGCTTGCAAGTGATGTCATCACTGGGTGACATCATTCCCGTACTGATTATGCTTTTGCCCAGAGCCTGTAGCTGAGGAGTGGAACGCTGAGGGAGCAGTGTGAGACAGCCAGCAAGGCTGAGCTTCCATCTGCTCTCCCCCCCCTGCCCCCCTCCCATCCCCACAAACACCTCTCCCCCTCCCACCCAGCACAGCACATACACACAGCTCCGTGCAAACAGAAAAGCCCAGTACTGGGCAGTCAATCCATCTCAGCGAACACAGAGAATAACAGGCTTTACATTGAGATTAAGTCCTTGTAGGCAGCTGGGAAAATGCACCGCCTGGCATCCAGCAGCAGGTTTCGGAACCTGCACAAGGGTAAGTGGTATATTTGTTAACTGGGACTGCGGATATGTTGCACGTCCGAATTCTGTCTGGCTCTCAGTTCAGTGTCTCTCATTTTGGTATTGATAAAAGCTGGAAATGACAAGTGCCGCAAAGCCATGCATAAATAAATTACGTAAATACTTTTCTGTTGTATTTAATTAGAAACCTGCCTCTGTAATAGATGAGGCAGGCCTTGTGCTGTGTGTTTGTTTCACTGAACCACACGTTTTGGTTCTATTCGAATCATTATGAAACGTTACTGTTCTGTACTATAGATTCCAGTCTGCAGTATGACTGGGTATTACACTGCAGCAGTTCTTTATCTTAATGCACAACACCCCCAGCTTAGTTTAGCTGTCAGCTTATTTTGGAATCTAGGCCTGCTAATTAGGGAAATGGAACCTGTTTGACCAGACAAAGCTGATGAATAGCGACTCCCAGCCGAATGTGAAATCTGGCTCGTCGTAGGCTGTGGAGGACAGTGTTAAAAGTGAGGGCAGCTCTGTGGAACGTGATGGCGGAATGAGTTTTCGGCTGAAATAACGGTCCGAAGTGGTTTGTAGTGATTGCAGATCCAGCCTTTTCGAGTACATGCTGCTTTCGCCAAAAACTTTGCTCTGGCCCATCATAATAGAGTGGGTTTCTGCATGTAGGACAACGATAACTTCAGATTCCTACTGACTCTTATCCTCTTTCTTATTGCATTTTCCTCTGATTTATTTTTTTACTGTTAGGAGATTTTCTCCTCCTTGCATACATTTAATGTTGGGAGAAATATGTTAAAAAATGATTCTATATTGATTTTTACTCCTATATAATTCTACTTTTTTTTTGGTTTGCCAAAAAGGAAAAAAAAGGAAACCAAGAACTGAATCCAAAATTTTTTTTTCCCAGCAGGGTTTACTAGTAAACTGGTATTGTTTGTTTTTAAAACCTTTTTTTAATGACATGGCTCTTGTTTATTCTGCTGTGCTTCTTCTGGGACATCTGTTCTCTGCTGTAAAGTATCAGGTTGGCTTTGCTTTTAAAGTTGTGAAGAATTTCCTGGGTAGTCATCAAGGCTGTGGGGTTTAAGTTGAAGTGTCTCAATTCAGAAATAGTACACTGTGCTGCCCAAACCACTCCTACTGATGCAGACAAACACACTTTCTCACACCCACACACACAGTTGCAAGTGAGAAATGACAGGGAGCTTAGAGCGCCAACTGTGAGACCTACTCTTTGCCATTAACAACTGCACTTCTTTCATAGACCTGTCATGTTTTGCAAAGTTGTTAACATCCTGAACAAGGACAAATAAGGCCACTTACATTTTCTTGTATAATTAAAAAGTACCACAAGAGAGAGCAATCACACAAATTAATTAAAGCTATAAATTAGCACTGTTCTGTTTTTTATTTTTAGATATCTTGGTATTTTAATCGGTTTAAGCATTCAAATCTGGATTTCAGCTGGCTCAGTTCTTACCCCAACCTGTTCTTGTGAGAACAAAAAAGGAATTAGTTTGAGGACTGGGAGACATGTGCCTATTCTGTAAGGTTTACACAGAGCTGTGACCTGATCATTTTTATTCTATTTTTTTTTCCAGACGCCTTATCTGCAGTCCATAGTTTTAGTGATTTTTTTTTTTTATTTACAAATAAAACTTCAAATATACTCATTTTAAGCTTTATATGAAATAGACGTTAATGTACCTGTGCCTACCTCCTTCAAATCAAACAAACAATGATGTGAAGATCTGTTGGAGATTGCAAGAATAATACAACAATTATGTGACACGTAAAAGGTTCCTGACTTTAATTTTCTTTCCTTCTTTCTCCATTTATGTTATGGATTCTCCATATAACTCCTGTCATCCTGGATGTTCTCTTTCCTTTTCTTGCAATGAAACCTGTACCTTCTCCAGATGATGAGGTAAGACCCTGGTATTTATATATTAATTACTGTGCTCCCAAATAGCATGGAAATGAGTGCTGAGCAGTCAGGCTTATTCAGTATCTTTCTCATGTGCAGTTAAACTGCCTATTGGCATGTGGGCTGTGGGTTTTATCTTTAGTATAGGTGTACAGTAAATATCTTTTTTAAGAATGCTCTTTTTATTCTCTCTAACTCCAATACCCGCAGTAAAAAACAAGAAAAAAGTCATCAATGTACCTCCGCCTCCTACGCCGGGCCTAATTTAGTCTTGTCTTTAGTCATTTACAGCGTGCTTTGCATTCCTCAGCATCATAGGGAAAACTGGCTAGTTGACTTTGGGTATTTGTGTTTGCCCGAGAAGCATGCTTACCCCTGGTGGAGCAATAAAACATTGTTTCAGAAATGAGTTATGGCATGAGTTTACTCAACAACCGAAGCCAGTTTTTCTTGTACTGTGTAATTGTAACACTCTTCATAAAGAATCTCGCTTCTCCACTATAACACCCCTTCACAGCTCTTGCTTGTATTTTTCTTGTTTTTGCTCCTTCCCCAAAGGAGTTTGGCATTGACATTTCTTACTTCTGAGTCCTAGGTGCCAACGTTCTCATGTCCTGTTTGTTGATTAAATCTGGGAACAGTTCTTCTAACCCATTAACAAACTTCTTACTCAGTTGGAAGGTTGTTGGGGGATTTTTCACATACGGTAGGCGGGCAACATAAGTGCTCACAACTTAACGCGGTCGGCTCTGGGAAATAAAAAAAATTGGGGGGGGGAAAACCATCATTCTCTGAAAAAGTTGTCAAGCACCCATACGAGAGCTACTTAGTGAGCCTATGCAGTCGTCTTATTTACTTTTATTTACTGTTTTTATACTTGTATGTTATATCTTGGATTTCCATAAGAGGGTTGGTAAGGTTTCTATGTGTTAAAGGGTAAAATTTGACTCTACGTGAATTTGGCTTTACGCACTACTCAAGATCCCCAACGCCCACATAAATTGCGAGTCGACTGTATTTTTTAGATGTCGGTGTACCCTAACATTCAGTTTTGTGGAACAGAAGTATTTGAAAATTCTTATGAGAAGATGATCTATTTGGTAGTATGCGCCTACTCTCAGGGTGATACGCGTGGCGATTTATCTTGCTTTTCGACCTGAAGTGCACAATGAGTGAGACACATGGGTGTCGCAAGCTCCTCTACCCCTGCAAAGTGTGGTGTGCTTCTTTCACCTCCGTGTCAAATCCACACGGCCTCTTCTGTGGATCTCTGAAGTAGACAACAGCTGTTTTAAGTTTGATGCATTACTTCCAAATGCATTGTGCAAACATTTCTATAAGGCGATAAAACTGTTTTCAACTGGTGCATTTTGCTGATTGTTCTAAGCTTTTTGCTTATTTCTAAATGCCTTTAGAAACACCATTGAGTTAAACTGGGGAAGGCCATACTGCATCTTAACTGGTTTTAGTCAGGCTAACTCTTTAGATGTCAAGACAGGCTAACAGATTAGGTCTATCTGGTGCCTTCGGGTGGCGTTAAGTGAATATTTCTGCTTGTGTCCTGGATGTAATGGATATGCAGCATCTACTCCTCAGATGCCTGTAGCATTCCCTATAGTCCTCTGCTTCTCACCTTGTCAAGCATCAATAGTCTC